GATAAGTTTAAGAATTAGTGAATAGAAAATAAGTAGTTACGAGTATAGATGGCTGAAACAACATGGAGGGGGTCAGTTTGCTGACAAGGGGAGAAGGAGAGGAGAATAGAGGGGGGCATAGAAGAGAAAATAGGATAAAAGAAAAGATAGGGAGGGAAGGGAACACAGAGTAGAGCGGATGGGGTGTGAAGTAGGCAACCAGGGAACACAAACAAGTGGGGAAAACAAGAAGGAGATGAGGAGCACATGGAATTACAGCTGGCCATAAAGTGGTTTATGGGGAGGGTCCAGTAGCAGAGAACTCTCCTTCGTCCCAGATAAATAGTCACTGATACACGCGGGAAGGGGGTGTATGGGGTCGGCTTATTGCCACACTTAGGGATCCTTAGGGTCATGTACATCTTGCAGGTGGTCAATGCAGGTTGCAGTTTTTTTTTTTAAGAGATTAAGGAATGAAAATCTGATGGTTGTTTCTTGCAGCGGGGAAAGGGATGTTTATTTTAAGTGGGACTGACGTAGGTATCTGTCTTAAGCTAGTGTTGATGTGGGATATGTGAATAGACCTTTGGTGGGAAAAGGAGTCAAGAGTCAAGAGAGATTTCCATTATGAAACAGACTTTATAGTAGTTGGCCCAGCGGGTATAGGCGCCTCGTATATTTACTTTGGGGAAATTTAGCAAGAACAGCAGTTTCCTTGGGTAAGTATTGACAAGTGAATCCTGTGAGTAAGTCGCATAGTAAATGAGATTGTCAAGAAACTGAACTCTCAAGATAATGCGTTTTGCTGGTAAGTATAAGATCGGTATGTCTTCTTTCTGGGTTGTGGTTAGGAGGTTCTGTGGGAGTTTGATTTGCCTTCTTTTGTTAAAACTCGTGTACATGGAATCACAAGTAAATATACTCTCTCTGTCTCTGTCTCTGTCTCTGTCTCTCTCTGTCTCTCTCTGTCTCTCTCTGTCTCTCTCTCTCTCTCTCTCTCTCTCTCTCTCTCTCTCTCTCTCTCTCTCTCTCTCTCTCTCTCTCTCTCTCTCTCTCTCTCTCTCTCTCTCTCTCTCTCTCTCTCTCTCTCTCTCTCTCTCTCTCTCTCTCTTTCTTTCTTTCTTTCTTTCTATCTTTCTCTCTCCTCTCCTTCCTTCCTCCTTCCCTCCCTCGCTCCCTCCCTCCCTCCCTCCCTCCCTCCCTTCCTCCCTCCCTCCCTCCCTCCCTCCCTCCCTCCCTTCCTTCCTTCCTTCCTTCCTTCCTTCCTTCCTTCCTTCCTTCCTCCCTTCCTCCCTTCCTCCCTTCCTCCCTTCCTAACTCCCTCCCTCTCTTCTCCATTTCATTCCTTCCTTTTCTTTCTCCTTCCTTTCCTCTCCTTCTTCCCCTCTTTCTGTAACGCACAACAGTCACGACTCCCAGAATCTGTCACAGGGAAGGCTTGTCCACACCAGCCCAAAGTTGTGGCGGGTAAGTGTTGGTCTTCAGCTGGCAGACGCCGTCACAGATGTTGTTTCTCCAAGACTAAGACTCTACTTGACTTTCTAGATTTAATTAGTTTATGGTTGATAATTCTGTATTGTCGTCCATGTCCTAAATTTTACGTGTTATCTACATGTTAAAATTACGTGATTATAGTTAATCTTAATTATTAGTGTTATGCTTGGTTATCAAAACTCCTCATCTGATAACAGACTGATTCGATTTAAGAAAAATGTTAATTGCCTGAGTTTCTTTTCTGCTAAAATCTGTTCGTTGATAGGAAGACAAAGCAGCTCCCAGATCTGTCATAACCAATAGAGCGTACACTTAACCTAGTTTAAGTCTCCCAGAGTCTTAGTGCGTAGTGGCAAGACCTCTCGCTGTCGTCTCTACTGCACCTAGACTCTCCGCCTCCCCCCCCCGCTGCTCACACATGTGGCTGGGGTCTCGCACTTTACAACTTGACTCAACTGATTTCAACTCCTTTACTCTGGGGTTCGGTTTACACGCCGGAGTTACGGCCCCAACCCCGCGTAAGTGTTGCCTACGAGTTCCGTTGCCCGCGTCGTTTGTAACCCTCCTGCCCTCCGCCTCCGTTGAGGATGGTATGCACAGGTAGGGTCTGCTTCTGGTTTTTGGATCATTTTCAGCATATTTTGATGATTTTCGGTATATTTTGATTGCGTGTATATTTATTTCCTTCAGTGATTATGTCATCATATGCCGTTTTATTAAGTTGCAGACCGTTGCAAATTGCGACACCACAGCCACAGGATAGATGAGTTTTATTGTGTTGGGTTTGATGGTGTGTGAGCGTCTGCTTGTTAACATCCCCCTCCCCCCTTCAGCTTGGCACTGGTGTCACTAACACTCTGGCTCCCTTCCACCCTGTCCCTGCCCCTCTCCCCCTCTGTAACAGTACTGGATCCCGGGTACCCTCTGGACCACTGCACTCCCGAGCGTCCTCTGCTGTCGCCCTCTTCTGCCCTCTCACCGCCCCACTCACCTTACACGCCCACGCCCACGGCGACTCCTCTGCAAGGTATCATAGGCCTAGGCCGAGTTAAGTAAGCCTAAAGCAGGTATAATAGGATTAAGGGTCGCTCTTAAGAACCTTTTCTCGAGACCTGACTCTCGGCTTCGTCGAACGTGCCAGTCGAATGCGCTAGTGGAGTATCGGAACAGCCATACCCCTTCAGGTGCACCAACATTTCCTGTATAGAATTAAACTACACGAAGGGTTTCGGTAGTATTTCATTGTCGAAAACATGAAGCCGTTCCGTGTATACATTGCAGCATAAAAGCCGTCAAATTGTGCTGACTTCATATTGTCACGAATATGCCTATATTTTAAGTATCAATAATGATAATCAGTTTGCGAGGTTAAGTCCTCTCGTAGTTTAGGCTGAAGTCTTTCCTAGACTGAATTACAGCTGTAATGGCAAGGACTACGGCGGGAAAATGCCGTAGCTATTGCCTAGATATTAGTGTCATTGTTGCCTATGAATGGTCCCATTAATGCTACTTAGTAGGTGTGTGGGTGTAGCCCCTAAACAGCAGACATTACCCTTGCCATTATTTATAAGGCATAGCTGCTCTCTTTTATTCTCTTACTTATTCCATGATATAAGGAGTATGTACATAGTAAAAGTAAATAATGGCGAAATACAAGTACCAAACGGTATAGATTAAAGACAGGGGAGATCTAAGGCTTCAGCAAAATAATGTCGTTTGAATACAAGTAAATTGCATTTCTGATGCAAGAAAGTCCATGCATCCTTAGTAAGTCAGATCATATCAGATCGGGCTTGGGCGAAGATAACGACCTTGTCTCTCCGACGAAATCTCCGTGCGGTCCTAAGAGAAGCCGCCATTTCGGGCGATCCGACAGTAGGTCTCGATCAAAAAGGTCTTGAGAAGAGCTTGTGTTAACATAGCTCTGATACTTTGATTTGAGGTGGGTGTAGACTATAGTTTTAGTGTACACTTCTTTACATTTTAAGAAAATTGAAACAGAGTCAGGGTTAGCGATAGGAGGAAATTGAAAGAAATAATGTAGACATTATATCAGATGTTACAGCTGTTTTACGTACTTTATAATCAGTGCATTCTAAAAGAACACTGTTCTGAAGAGACTATATTCATTCACGGGAGAGAAAACCTTTAGATGACATAGTCAAAAGGAATGGCCTTGGAGTTGTGGGAAAACATCAAACATCATAGCAACAAGAGGACTAATTGCCTGGAGTTTGAGTGTATGCATAGAGGGTCGCCTGCCTTTAAATGTAGACGTGAACGAGCACTAAGTAGAAGAGACTACGCCATTCAGATAGTGAAAGCCAGAGATTATTTTAGATGAGTCGCTAAGGTGTGCTTGTGGCGGTCGTAGTGACCTGACATAGGCGAGGGATCTTTGTACCCCTCGACAGGACGGGCATTTCATGCCTTTCGGGCAAAGACATGACTAGAGCGGGACGGAATGGACGATCCATGGGGACAGGCACGAGAAAGAGTTCCCCCAGGGGCAAGGGCGGGGCGAAGACCGTTTAAGAGTCACTTCCCAGGGAGCTCGAACAATATTGTAACAGAGTCAAGAGGCTAACTTTCACACCGTGCACCTCGGGCTGCTTCCTCTTGTGGTGTGTGGCTCTGGCTGTTTTCTTTATTCGCACAAAAGTGTCCACGGTAGGTGCTCATCTGTGCGTCTTTCTCTTGCTCTAATACTTTTGCCTGTTTGGTCATTCTGTCTGTGCACCGGCAGGGTAGGTTGCACTACAACGTGGTGCAACAGCAATTAGTCAGATAACCTAAGATTATGTTTCATTGTAAGTAAATGATAGTCAAGTATAAATTGTGCCTATGTCAGGGACCTTAATGTCTGTCTCGTCATCATCATTTGTGTTTCTGTCATTTAACGTAATTATGGTTAATAACACGCATTGTTTTGCTTCTCATAAGTTGTAAAGAGCGTAGTAACAATAAATATTTTTAAGCATAAACAGTACAGTAATTACCAGGCAGATTACACAAATTATCATTGCGGGTGGCACTGTGCCTCCCTTCCCCTCTCTCCCCCCGCCTCGAGTAGACTCTCCGCTGAACGTCTTTGACGAAACGGAGGAGGACGCGGCCACGCTGGAGGGCGGCGAGGAGCAAGCTCAAGCCATAACCACCGAGGGCGAAACGGCGTATCCATCCGAGGGCGGCGCCTTGTCACCCACCGCCGCCCACGCCGCTGCCCAGCCCGACCACGAAACCCATCATCCATCCGTCCACGAAGGGTGAGTACTCGTTGTGCCTTCGCAGGAAAAGTCCTTTCTTTAGATTCCTCGTCTGCTGATTCCCTGGAGGAGCCGAGTCGATTCCATCCTGATGTCATGTTGGGACTTCGCCATGTTTATTGTATAATATATGAAATTAATTGACGCTACAAAAGGAACCGGATGTTTCTTTGAGGGTAGATTCATAACTCTAAAGAACAAGATAGTGCTATTGGAAAAAAAGTAACGTTATTTTTCTTTACTGAAGATACAAAGTAAAAA